TTCCCCATTTTTATCCACATTCCATTTGAAATAAAGGTCAACATTCAATTTGCCTTCCCTATTACATGAGCTTGGATGGTAGCCTTTTGTCATTTATAATTCAATAAACCTACCTCATCTTATCAGTTATTTAAATGGCAGTCAATTGTTATGAATGAAATCTAATTTCAAATTCTTTCAAAAAGGTTGAGATCTGGTTAAAATATTTTTTATATCAAAATATACATTTAAAAGATGTCTTAATCACTGCTTTCTGTGCCATGATCGTAACACGTCTACAATCAAAGGGAAGAAAACAACAATAATGTTCAATCAAGTTTAGTCTTGAGTCCATCAGTGTATTGAATGAGACAGTTGCTTGCTGCAACTGGAACTTGAATCCAAAGTTGCGTACTTGCATGTTGGCCAGTGGACTGTGATATCTTATAACAAAAAAGTACAAGTGGCCAACATGCAAATACACAACTTTGGACTGAAGTGCAATATAATAATTCATGTCCTTCAGGGAAAGGAATCTGACAGCCTTACTCACTCTCACTGACCTGTGGCTCCAGAGGCATGTTATATGTCTCTTAATGTCCTCAGGGTACAAGGGAATAAACTGTCTGCATTATCCACATCTGGTGACCTAATATAGGCAAAGGGCTGACCCCAAGATTAATTTAAAAGCAGAACCAAGTTTGCTTTGAAAGGGAAAGAAAGAGTTGACAACAGAGCTCAACCAGATTTCTAATTCCCAACTTCAGATTGTAGGCTTGTTTTCCCTCCAAACTAAGTAAATGAGTCACTTTTTCATCCCTCTACAGTGATATCCACAGTATGAGCCAATTTCGATATGCATCAAAATGTAAATTAAGCAGCAAGGATTCAAAAAGCCCGTGGCAGGAATCAAGATGACAAGGACAATCTATAATTTTCACAACAATTTTCTCAAATGGGCAGCATTGTAGATAGTGCTGACACAGCATAAAATTACAACAGGATGTTGCTAGATTAAGTAAGTAGGCAAAGCTGTGGCAGATGGATTTTAATATAACCAAGTGTAAGGTTATCCATTTCGGACAATAAAAGGATAGATCAGGGTATTTTTTAGAAGGCACAAAGCTAAATACTGTGGATTTCCAATGAAATTTGGGAGTACAGGTGTATAACTCTTTAAAATGCAATGAACAGGTGCAGAAAATAGTCAGGAAGGCTAATGGAATGCTGGCCTGCATGTCTAAAGGGCTAAAGTATAAACAGGCAAACATTATGCTGCAGTTATTCAAATTCTAGTTAGACCCCACAGAATACTGTGAGCAGATCTGGCCACCACACCTTAGGAAGGATGTTTTGGCCCTAGAGGGAGTTCAACGCAGGTTTACAAGGATGATTCCTGGACTCCAGAGTTAAGTTATGAGATGACATTAGAGAAATTAGGCCTTTATTCTCTAGAATTTATAAAGTTTAGGGGTAATCTAATCGAATTTTTAAGGATATTAACAGGAAAAGACAGGGTAGATAAAGATAACCTATTTCCACTGGTTGAAGATTCTAGATCCAGGAGGCATAAAAAAGAATTAGTGCCAGACCATTCAGGAGAGATGTTAGAAAGCACTTGCACTCGCAAAGGGTAGTGGAGGTTGGAACTCTGTTCCTCATATGGTGGTCATTGCTAATTCAATTGTTAAATTTAAATCTGAGATAAACAAATTTTTATTAAACAAGCCTATCAAGAGAATTGGGCGCAAGACAGGCATGTGGAGTCAGGCCACAGATCAGCCATGATCTTACTGAATGACAGAGCTGGCTCAAGGGGTTGAATAGCCTACTCCTATTACTATGTTCATCTTGAATTTCCAAGTAATTTTGCTGATTCCCTATCTTAATTATGTTTTATTTCTCACTTAATGTTCCTGTGGGGTTTCATGGACTTTAGAAAGGATCAGTTAAAAAATGAAAAAATCTTTCACAATAACTTGAGTAAATTTACTCTCTGAAACTGTCTTCAAGACTTCCTTAATAACAAGCTCTCGCCTAGATTCTGACTGCCTTTTTGACATCCAGAAAAGTTCTGAACTTATTCCAATTAATTCTGAGTACTTTTGCAGGCTGCAGCAGCATGTAAGATATGCATACAGCTCCATTCATCAAATTGGTTGGAGTACTCACCATTCTATCATTCATCAATACACTGGTGCTCAGTTCTTCATTAATTTACATGGTCATAATTATCTGCTCCTCCAATAATTAACTAATACGCCATACTCCATTAATTTATTAATTCATTGGTATGTTCCTAGTCCATGAATTTATTAAATCATTGTAGCCTGCTTCTCAATTAATTTGTTTGCATGTGTTGTTTTATTAATTGATTAACTGGTGCCCTTTGCTCCTTCTTTTAATTCACTGCTACAACCACTGCTGTATTAATTACATAACTTGCTGCTGCCCACTTTCGTACAAATTTACTGTTCCAATGTAGTCCAGCACTCAATTAATTTATTAATTCATGAATCTTCATTAATGTCTGTCTTTTCTTGGTGACATTTTTGTCTCCCAGTCAGAAGGTTGTAGATTCAACTCCCAGTTCAGAGGCTTGAGCAGATTATCTAAACTGACACTGTCAGAGGTACTGTCTTTCAAATGAGATGTTAAGCCAAGGACTTGTCTATTCTCTCAATGAACATAAAAGATTCTACAGAATTACTGAAAGTAGCCAAGAGGAGTTCCTCCTAATACTCTAGTCAACACTCATCTCCCAGCAATGAGTGGAGGCAATGGCCTAGTGGTATTATCGCTGAACTGCTAATCTAGACACCCTGGTAATGTTCTGGGGGTAGGGGTTCAAATCCCACTATGCAGTTGGTGGAATTTGAATTCAATTAAAATCCGGAATTAAGAGTTTAATGATGTCAATTGTCAGGAAAAACCCATCTGGTTCACTAATATCCTTTAGGGAAGGAAACTGCCACCTTTACCTGGTCTGATGATTGCAGACCCACAGCAATGTGATTGACTCTTAACTGCACTCTGCACAATTAGGGGTGGGCAATAAATGCTGGTCTAGCCAGTGACGCCCACATCACGAAGGAAGAAAATAAAAACCCAATGATATGAGAAATAGATTACTTGGCCAGTTGTTGTTTGTGGGGACTACCAGTGTGAAAATTGACAGCGTATTACTTGACATTACAGTGAATATACTTCAAAGATATTTTGTTGGCTTGTGAGAAACAAATGCATGTTCTTCCATTCTAACTGAGTTACTGTCACAAGAAAACCCATCTAACTTTATAATAAACCAAAGAACTGTGCATGCTGCAAATCTGAAACATGAACAGAAATTGCTGGAGGAACTCAGCAGTGATGCTGAAAAAGTAGGGGTTAACGTTTCAAGTCCAGTGACCCTTCTTCAGAATTGAGTTCTGAAGGTCAGGGTTAAGTCACACATTCACCAAAGGTGTGTCATAACATAGCCAACAGGTTAATGAAAATAACTACACCTCTTTCTTAAAAGGGCCCCTTGGAAGCATGCAGTGGTTATGCCCCAAAGGCAGAAGGTCTGGGTTCAGGTCCCACCTGCCCTAGGGATATGTAATAACATGGCCGAACACATTAAATAACTGTACCTCTTAAAAAGGAGATGCATTGTGGCTAGAGCAGATACTAGAAACTGGCCTCTAACAGATTCTGACCTGCCAAAGTATGGCACAATATGGGAGACGCAAACTCCAAGTTTTCACACAACAAATCACAGCAATCATTAAAATATAACCTTCCATCCATTCATAGGAACAACATAAAATGATGATCATACATCAGCTTTTTCTGTCCCACAATTACACTCCTTAACTTGTGGGAACCTGTGATTTAGCTTGGCTAAAAACAGAAATTCGAAAAAAAAGTAGTAAATTATTTAACAAAAAAAAATGTATTTTGCAAATTACACTGAAAGCAGTCAACTCAGACAATGTCATAGGGTGAAACAACACACCCTAAAGAAGGCTCATACTTGTAACAAAAACTAAAAGAACTGCGGATGCTGTAAATCAGGAACAAAAACAAAGTTGCTGGAAAAGCTCAGCAGATCTGGCACATCTGTGAAGGAAAAAACAGTTCTGAGGAAGGGTCATCGGACCCAAAACGTTAACTCTGTTTTTTCCTTCACAGATGTTGCCAGACCTGCTGAGCTTTTCCAGCAACTTTGTTTTTGGTCCTATTTGTAACTTTTACTGTGTTAGAAACAAATTTAAATGTAGAAACTCTGATGACAATGATGACCGTCATCATCTTCAATATAATGAATGATGATGTAGAGCTGGACTACAGACCCAAAAATTCACCCCAAATTACTGCTGACACTCGAACTGGATTCAGGCATGTAACTCTCCTCCCAGCGTCCAAACCCTAAAGTGGTTTGACAGACTCATCCTTATTCTTTTTTATAACTAGGACACTCAAGAGTGTAAGCTCAAACCACCAGTTTGATTCAAACTAATCCGAAAAAACACAAAAATCTACTCTTAAAAGCCATGTCTTATGTAATCAAGATCCCCAATCTGGGCTCATTGCTAACTCACACAACAAATTAAGATCTTCCACAGAGCACAATTTGACATCAATTATTAGCGTGTATCTCTCATTATGTACTGATTAATATGTTCAATTTAAAAACTTCAGTCTATAATGAATAAAAAAAAAACATTTATCTCGTCCAATGTATTATTTCCAGCATCTGTATATCACCTACTCTCATGGATTCCGCCCTTTGTTGAGTTGTTGGTTGACAATTGAAATACAAATGGTGTAATTGCGCACTCACAGAAGGAACCACACCAACTCAGACACGCGTTGCAGGATCAGGGCTGCAGCTTTAAGTTGTATGTCTGACGCACAACCCTTTGACCACATTGGGAGCATGGACAAATGGAACGGCCTTTGTACCTGTAAAGTGCAACGTCACTGACAAAACACTGCTGGACGTCACATGGAAAATGAGTTATAGTTGCAATACTCACAGAAACCACATTCACGTAGTCATCATCAGACAGTGTTTCCAACATCTCAGAGACTGATGTCCGAATTAGTTTCAACGTTAGCCCACTAACACTTCCGCTCCTTTTTTGTAGAAAAGAAAGCAAGGAAAGGGTAAAATATTACATTCTTTACAGAGAAAGTAACAGTTTCAATGCTCGAATGACTTGTGCAGTACTTACACGTCTACAAGAATGAGCATGTCCTTGGGTGAAGCAGCTCCCTGAATGTACCTGAGAGAGTAGAACAAATCAGTGATGCACCACTAACTTCACAATATGAGAAACCACACAGAAATCTATTTAAGTATAGCTGCTGCAATCTTTTGGGGGTGTATTATTTTATTCTTTAACAGCTTATCACAAGCATAGTGTTCTGCCAAGGTCTGTGGCCAGTACTGAAGCACAACTGGGACAATTGCTGTAATGCAATATAACAATAGAGGAATAGCTCTAAGTGGGATCAATTAGACAGAATTTTTAAAGAACGATTACAAGCCACAGTTGGCTAAATGGCTTCCTTTTGCATTGTGTAATTCTACGATGAGCCAAAGCCTAACTTTTTAATCAAGTTGGCACCAAGAATATCAAAATATACCAGAGCTTCAAAACACAGATTATTCCATATTTACAAGCAACTAAATTACTTTTAAGTTTGGATATTATTGTTAACTGGGCAGTTGCAGTAGCTAAGCTGCACACACAAGGTCCCAGAAATAGGAGTAAAACAAATAGCCAGTTAAGAATGCTGTTTCTCAAATATTGCGATAGGTTCTTTAATAGCAATTTGCATAGGTAGATGGCAACACTGCACTCCTTTAGTACTGCACTAATAATGTACTTAACTTACATAGTTGTGGAAAAGATGAGTTTCTAAGACTAAACATTCAGTCAATGGGTCGGGAGTCAACTTTAAGAAAAGTAACATTTTTGAAGAGGCTTAATTCCATTCTTTCCCATTGCCTTACTGCTGCAACTGCCATGTTAGAGGCTGGTCCCACCAATCCAACACCCAAAAGCAGGACAAAGAAGTTGGAAGAGTTGGCAATACTTTTTATTACTTATAAGTAAATAATAACCTCCATAGACACAGACATTAATTTCTGTAAGTTCACTGATGAACTAATGAACACCAAATTCATTAAATTTCTCAAATTCATCAAAACCAAAAGTCACACCTGTAAATTTATATAATTTTACTCAGTTTTTCTCATGCAGAAAAGAATTCAACTTAGCAGCAGAACAGGCATTGAATGGGTGTTAAAATACATAAAATTCACTATCATTATCATCAGAATGAAGTAACTTTTCCCAAGTTGATTCAAGAAGTACAACATCATATGGATCATCAACATCATCTTCACCAGCATTCATGTCATTATTGGCCTTATCATCCCACAAATAACCACACTGTGTGCCATAAAAATGTTTAGAATTAGAATTTAGAATTGGGTTTAATGTGAAAAGTGAAAAGTTTACAAGTCGACTCTTATGGTGCCATCTCGGTGCAAAATGTTAGATACAAAACAAAAAAATAAAGAAACAATGTTAAAAAGTTAAATATTACAGTCCTTCTTTCTAAAAAGTAGAAAAACCGTGTACTGAACATTGCACATTTCTTGATCTCCAGTGGAGGTCTCCACCAAGTGGCTTTTTTGAGTGCTTTGCTGTTCCTTTTAATTCTATTGACTAAGGACATACCCATCGTTTGATCTGATGTTCCATTTCAGACAGCTGTGGAATAACAATCAGAGTGTACTTTCTTCTTATTGAGCATGATCTCTATTCCAATTTCATCCCTTTAAAACTCACGCACACAGGATTGCTAAAGTTGGAGCCCCAATGCCTCCTCCACTAGTGAATATCTTTTCTCCACTGGTCATCCAGTCGCTCTTCTCACCCTCAAAGGGCTTGTTTAGAGAGATGTCCAACAGTGGAACAAGGCTGGTTAGCCGACTGGGAATCACTGCAATATCCTTGTTCTGTGACCTAACTTCAGCACCATCAGTGACCAGGCGTGATCTCAATGTGCCACAGTTGAGAAAACTTTTCTTAATGTAAGCCTCCATATTTGGAGGCTCCAATCTTTCTGCAGCCATCTTTACAAGCCACTTTCATCCACCATTCTTTATCATGACTGGAAATGATTCATCCTTTTGGGAGTTATGTTTCGGGAAGTTTCTTTCCTGAATGTCACCATTGGCTTAAGCTTTGTCCTGTTGTACATACCTGACAGCACAACTATGAATCTATATCTTTCATGGTCAGCTGTCTTCACCAATACTCTTTTCTCTCCAATTTTAATCACTACTTGACATGGCATGACAGAATTCGTGGGTCACACTTGGCAAATTAATTCTCCACCCATGCTGAGAGACCTTTCTTACCTTTACCAAGAAGCTCATTGCGAGCTTCAGGATCAGCATTCCTTCTTTCTACTCCTTCTCCAAGATCATCAGGTTCTGACAACAGACCAATATTCTGGAACATTAACCTTAGAGCCTCATCTCTCTGCAGAGCTTTGACCTGTTTAATATTGTAAGCATTCACTGTTTTTATTTCAGATTTCCGACAACAATAGTATGTTGCTTTTTGTTCAATTTGCCTTTGTATGCCTTTTGATTCTTTGTCCTCCTTGTACCACTTTCATGCCCTACTTCACCAATAAGCCGCAGCATCACTAAGTAGCCCTTTTATATGCTTTGCTGTTCCTTTTAAATCTATAGAATAAGGACGTACCCATCATTTGATCTGATCTTCTACTGCAGGCAACTGTGGTAAAACAATCAATGTGTGCTTTCTGCTTGTCAACCATGGCATAAGTTATTGCATTTAAATTTTGAACAATCAGTTTTGAAATGGAAGCAGATCTTATGGATGCTGCAGCTTGGTTTATGGGCACAAAAGTTAAATGAGAAACACTTTTGTAATTTTTGCTACACACCTCTCATTAAACACAACGCGTTGAGCACATTGCAAAAATCTGCCCTGTCTGGCTCTTTGTGCCTGGTTATGGTCAATAAGCAGATTGATTGTTTAACTCCACATACATTGCCAAACTTCCATATGAAGCTAAAGACATTAATAACCTTCACACCCTGAAGTAAAAATCTATGACATACAAATGAGCTGTAAGCACTGGTAAAAATCCAAGCACCATTAACATTGAGCTACTTTGAACAACTATTTGTTTTTACAGACTTGCATCCGAATGTTGATCATGGCCTAAAGGCCAGCATAGGGGAGTGAGTAGGAGGGAAGAAGAGCTAACAATCACAAATTACATTTATATGAATAAAACTAATGTCTCTGAAACTGCACTGAAAGCCTAATAAAATTAAAGAAATGACATCTAGATTGCTAGATCTCAGTGGCTGAAGGATTGATTACCTAAGTTTTCAATAATATAGAAGGAAAACAGATAATGGAGACAGAGATGGATGTTTCCAGCATATATATGGAGGCTGGTGCTGTGGTTGTAGATGATTTGGCCAAGTAATAGTGTACGAGAGAAAGAGAGGGACAAGAATATATGCCAGAAGATGACTATGGGTCTGACTTTGAAGGTGATGCTGAAACCACAAAGGATTATTTCTGATATCTGCTACAAGAGAGATGATTGCAAGGGTCCTCTACAAGTTTTTTTTTCCCCTTTATTCTTTCATGGGATAAAGGTGTTGATGGCTTGGCCAACATTTACTGCCCATCCTTAATTGCCCAGAGGGCAGTTAAGAGTCACATGTAGGCCAGACCAGGTAAGGATGGTGGCGGTTTCCTTCCCTAAAGGACATTACTGAACCAGATGGGCTTTTCCAACAATTGACAATGGATTCATGGTCATCATTAGATTCTTAATTCCAGATATTTATTGAATTCAAATTCCACCATTTGCCATGATGGGATTTGAACCCGGGTCCCCAGGACGTTATCTGGGTCTCTGTATTAACAGTCCAGTGATAATACCACTAGGCCATCACCTTGCCCCCAAAGCCTCCTCTCATTGGCTGAAGAACTCCTTCCACAGTCAATGTGAAGTTTACATGAGAGGCACACAATCTTCAGTGCATGATAAATTCAAGAAAAGTGCAACAAACAGCACCAACTGACTTTTCAGCCTCACAAAAGCCTTCAAATCTGTTAGCCATGAAGTCTTATAGAGTATCCTCATCAGATTCAATTACCTGGAGAAATTTGTTACCATCTTCCACCTACACCATGACAACATGCAAACTATGAACCTCATCAATGGAACCACTACAAACTCTATCTCAATGAATGCATGGGTCAAACAACACATGCTGCCAACTCTCCTCCATTTTCCTTTCTACAATATTGTGCCTGACCGCCGACAAATTACCCACAGGTAGATGAAGAATCTATAGATCAGATTAGTCTTTCTTCAACCTACGCTGCCTTCAATCCAAACCCAGGATCACTCCAACCTCACTCACTGAGTTTCAATGCACACGAGATGCTTGTGTGCATAGTCAAAACTAAGCTCCACGTCAGTGTTCATTCCTTCTCTGAAGCACACAAGAAAAATGGCCTTTCACAAAGCATCCAGAACCCTGAAATCCTCTTCCAAACAGTTCCCACAACAAAACGCCATCCCATATCACTTTAGATCAACGGTGAGATCTTAGAAAATGTGGACAAAATTTTTCATGTTGTGTGAGCATCCATTTGATGAAAGCAGACATTCATAATCAGTAAATTCATCATCCTATTAATATCCTCTCACAGCCTTCGGTGACTGAGAAAAGGAGTGTCTGAGGACGATTATCTCAAACCTGACCATCTATCTCAAACTATCTAAATCCCAATGGTTTACAGGGCAGCAGCGATTTCTGCACTCCTGTATGCTTCACAGATTTGAACAGGCCACAGCAGACACCTTAGAGCACTGGAAAATTCCCATTAGCTGCACCTTTGCAACATCCTCCAAATCTGGAAAAAAGACCCCATCCAGAGTTCTTAACCAAGCTAACACAGTTAGCATCAAGGTGCTAATTACTTTTAAACAGCTGTGCAGGATGGGATGTATCAATTGCATACCTGAGATCAGACTCCTGAAGCAGCTGTTCAGCTCCAAACTCAATTACAGCCTCAGTCAGAGGAAAATTTTAGAAACACTTTAGGGTTATCCTCAAATCATTCCTGAAGGGGTGAAACATTGTTGCCAACTCTTGGGGGACCCTGGTTATGAGCAACTAAAATGGAGAAGGTTGATTCAG